CTGCCCCGGGGCCGGGGTCACTCCGGTTATCCGGACGAGGGGTTTATGCCCTGCAGGATCCGAGCTGGGACCGAGGGGTCGTGCTGCTGGGGACGGCACGTTGGGGTCATGGGTTGCTGACAGCTCCCAGTGAGGGTGGCTCTGATCCATCTGCCTCCTGCCTGGAAAACCGTTATAAAATGAGCCAGGATTTGAGGGCAATGGGGACTGGAGGGCAAAGCAGAGCTGGGAGAGGAGAGAGTCCCACGCTCACACATCCAGCACACAGCTCCTGGGAGTCCCAGCCATCCTGCAGAAGCATGGATGTGCCTCACCCACAGGACTGGGGTCTTGCTGAGGACAAGATGCTGGTGCCAGCCCTGACAGGGGACAAGGACCCCATGACCCGGAAAAGGTTCCTCTCTTGAATGCCCCATCCCTGGAAGTGTTCAAGGCCAGATTGGATGGGACTTGGAGCAACACGGTCGAGTGGAAGGTCCCTGCCCACTGCAGGGGGATGGAAGTAGATGATCCCTTTAAGGTCCTTTTCAACCCAAACCATTCCAGGATTCTATGGGGCTGTGATGGAGACATCTCCACCTCCAATATGGAGACATCCTCCACTCACAGCTGAACTCACACCACCCACCACAGCATCACATCTTCCTGCTCACTCCTATCATGGCATCCCCACACAGGAAGATGCTCCAAGGCCAGGCAGTGAGTATCCTCTTTATCTGCCAGCAAAGGAAACACTTTTACTTGCTTTCTAACACTTTCTTGTTGTGGCAACCACAATTTCCAAAATTGCTGCAGCTCTTCTAGAAAGGCTATGGGGAAATGACAGAAAAAACCAGTTTATTTATATAATACAGAATAAATAAACATAGGCAGCAGTTAAACACAAGGCACCAGTAGGTCAGAAACCCCTGGCATCACCAGCCTCTGCTCACCCTCCCAAAACACACGGGGACTGAGGGTTTATAGAGCTGCGCCACAGAGGCAACCCCCACCCCAACCAAGCATGTTCACCATGATTTGGTTTCAGGGCTAAGAGGGGTGCCTGCTGCCAGGGCACTCAGGTGCTGCCTCCTGTCCATCCCTGCATGATGGATGGCAGCAAGTGGATGGGAACACTGCCACTGCCCTATCGCCGGGGGCGGGGAATAATACCCAAGCCAGGAGGGAACTCTGGAGGTCACCCAGAGTTGGCCCAGAACTTCACACTTGTGTCCCTCTTGAAGCTACTCCAGCCAGGCTCATTGCTCATTAACAGACCCCTCATTACTCATCAACAGACCTGCAGCAGTGTGAGGACCCCAGTCCTGGGGAGCAGTCGGTGTCCTGGCAAAACCATGGCATGAATTCCCGGCTGCAGCTCCCACCCCGGGATCCGTGCAAGGAGGGTGTTGGGAGCTGGGGAGCACCAGGGGCTGCTGAGCACCAACACTTGGCTCCAAGTGTGCAACAAACTGGGGGACAGCAGCGCCACTGAGAACCCCCCCTCATGCTTTTGTGCCTTCCAGAGGTTAAGTGGGGCAAAGACCCTCAGTGAAGCCCTCCCCAAGCTTGGTAGGAAACAGAGGGCAACGGGGCTGTGGGATGGAGCTTGTGCTCTTCACACACGCACCGAGGTCAGCCCAGCAGCTCCTCTATCGAGCACAAGAGCTCTCAGTGAGCTTATGGCACAGAGGCCAGCGAGCTGTTTGCTCTTCCCAGGTTTCCGGGGGAGGAAGGAGAAAGCAGAACTCCAGCCTCTGGGGTTTTGCAATTGTTTGGAAAAATCCCCAGATTCAGAGGTGAGATAGTGTTGGGGGCAAGGGAGTACAGTGGCCTTTGGGGACTGAAAGCACGGCCAAAAAAATCTGCCCTGTCAAAACCTGCTTGTGGAGGTTCAGAGAACACCCACACCCCGCACAAGCATCACCCAAGGGTACTGAAAAATGCTGGAAAGCAGGAGAAGATAGTATCGGCCTGGAGGCAAACAATGCAGCAGCAGCAAACAAAGCTGGAAGGTATTTCCAAGCACAAACACACTTTCCGGAGAACATGAAAAAGTCATCAGAGACGGGTCGTGCTCAGGGAGAGGAAGCACTGAGGGTGTCATGGGGCAGGACAGGCTGTTCAAACCTCTTGCTCATCATCTCTAGGCTGTTCCCAGCACAGGGTGCAGCTCTGCTGTGCCCAGGGGGGGCAGGACCCAGCTGCTCCCCCATGGCAGCTCATCCCCTGGGTGCCTGCAGCTGGATTCAGTGATGACGATATGGGGACCCCCAGCTCAGCTCCCTCCCAGCTGCTTCACCCTCTTCCTGGTGCTCTGCAGGTCCAGGCACACTGCCCAGCAGGACAAACCTGGCACCAGGCACCCCCAGCTGAATTTTTTTTCAGCCAGTTCCTTGGGAAAAATCCAACTGTTCATTTACTAATTTTAGGGTGGCGACTAATGGAGCTGAGCACTACCTGGCACAAAGGGCACCAGGGGAAGTTTCAGCTGGTTGTGCCAGGGTAACGACATCTGCATGGCTCCAGCTCTGAATTTGGACTTAACTGGGTGCTTCAGGAGACTGACCTCACTCCACAGGGTGTAAATCCTGCTGCAGGAGGCTCCCAGTGAAGACATTGGCTCATGCAATCCCCAGCCAGCATCCCAGCTTGTCTACTGCAGCCCTCACTGGCTCAGAAAGCTTTGTGTGGTAAAGGCAGCATGGTTTATAACCTATAGAATCCATATAACTCAGGAATTTGGTTTAGAAACCCAGCACAGGGTCCTACCAGCTCACCTGTGATTTCACCAAGGGTCATGGGGCGATGCAAGGAAACTACAGGAAAAAACATCCAAAGCTTGGCTTAGGCAGAGAACAGAACCTGAAATCCCAGGATCAACACACCTCTGCTGGGCTCAGGACCTCCTTGGAAGGCTCCTGCCCTCGGGAACTCTGCGTCCAGTCCCCTCCCCGTGCCACCATGGCAGCACTCCGATCCCATTACAGCCAACTCCTGCCCGGGGAGCAGAGCACACGCCTGAAATTTGAGTTTGCTCCATTCGTCATGTCCCAGGGCTGTTTGTTCCCAAACAAACTCCGTTTAGTCACTGCCTAAAAATCGCCTTAAAATCCCATGACGGCGACATGAGACGCTGCTGCTTTGCTCCAAGGAAAATTAAAAGGAGGATAAAGGGGAATTTTTTTGCTGCAGACAAAGGTCTCACAGCGATCCACTCTCCCCTGACAGGCCAGCAAGCTCAGTGCCAGGCACACCAAGCTGATTTCCCCCTCCTGCTGTCCCATCTCTGCTCTGAATCCACACTCCCCCAGACAGTCTGGGTTCCTGCCTGGATTCCTGCCTCCCTTCCCTGCACTCCTGCAGTGCTGCAAGACAGATGCTCAGACATTGCCAAAGCTCTGCTGGGTCCTGTGTTCCTAAGGAGGAAAACAAGCCTGTCTCCATCCTGTGAAGGATGCATCACGCCAACAGGGAAGGTCCCCCGTCTTCTCTGTCTCCTCCACTTCCCAGTCCCCTTTTACCAGCCTGAGTCAGGCCTGAGGACACACAAGCCAGACACAATGCCTCGCTTCACCTTCGTCCTTCTGCCTTCCTCCCGGCTGGAGGAAATTGCTCAGCACGAATTTCCGCGCTGCTCTCTGGCGGCAAAGCTGCCGCCGGATCGGGGAGAGACGAGGGGCTGCAGAGGGGCTGACGAGGAGCCTCTCCGGCCCCACTGTCACCTCCCCAAGGCCCAGCTGCCCCAGGGAGCGGGGACACTGGACGGGTCCCCGGGGTTAGGGAGCCGGTGTGCTCC